AAACCACTTCTTTATGCCTATACGATGACAAGAAAGCTTTGGTTTGGTTTGAAATGTATCACCGTACTGTGTTGTTTGCGTGTAATGTTGTGAAGGTTTGCAGCACCCGCACAGACAGGGCGCCGCTTGAACCACAGGGGGTCACCACCCCCAAAACCCCTCTCAGCAGGCTTGGGATCTATGGAGCAGGTAGAAAGGAGTTGGGTTGTGGATGAGTGCACATGAATTATTGGGAAGGGGGTCGGCTGGACACAACGGCTTCATGCACTACACAAGAACACCCTGGGTTGGTGCCTGCCGTTCTTAGCTGATCACTTTTCGTTCTCAACATCTCTCCCTGCCAGGCCCCCGGTTGATGAGTATAACACAGGTCACAGCTTTCATTAGCTGCAACTTCAAACACTCTCACCATACATAGCCATAACAACACAAACATACTCACGACACAGGCGCAGGTCTCACCAGCTCCTCCTATTGGGCTTTCCACCAACGCGTTCAGGGCGTTCGGGGGAGCTAGAGCCGGCAGTACAGGCCCCGGCACTGGTGGTCTGTTTCACCATCGCGGGCGGAGTCCCCCGGCTTTTAATCACAGAAACCGGTGTCTCGTAACAAGGCGAAGGCCAAAAGAGTCAGAGATATCAATTAGGCCGAGAGGAACTGGAGCTAACCATTGAAACGGCGAGTGACGGGGCAAAGTACAAGTGGTAACGCAGCTAGCACCGCGAGCAAAGTGACGAGCACACCGCCCACCACGAGCAAATACCCAGATGCGCTCTGATCTAGACAAGTCAGGGCACACTGAACGCAGGACTGTGGGGACTTCGTGTTATTTTGACGTACCGCTTCCTGTACGCCCATCCGTATCGCTGATTCCACTCTGGAGAGCAGAGCAGACGGTTTAATTTCCGTATTAAGCCCTATCGCCGCCTATCGTATGGAATACAATGACAGTGCGGTCACAGGTTGCTGAGTGTCCGACTGATCACAAGTAGGAATCAACATTCTGAAGAGTTATAGGCCACATCTGTGGTATAGGTCAGGTGATATATAACCGTTTGGGCTGTACTGTATGGTGATAGTGTGGAGTGCACAGAGCTGGGGATGTTTAATTACCCAGCTCACAGTAGAGGCACCTCAATCAACACCTTTCCATACGGTTAGTAGTTGGTCCACAGAGACCGCCCTGTGATTCCCCCTTCCGTCCTTGCTGCATGGTGCCAATTTCTCAAAAAGTCACAAATGGCATATATCCAAATAAGGGAGGGATATAAGTAACTATAGGCTTCATTCTGTAACTCTTGATTCGGAAGTCTTAGAATACGTTTTTGGAACAGGTTCTTGGTAAGTCCTGTTCAGCTTACATATCTGTGAAAATACATACAATCACGCGACATCCACCCATCATACCTTTTACTTGTATTAACTAGATGGTTGATGATTGGTTTGTCTCCTACAAATATACAGGTCTTGTAGTTTAACCATCGACATGGTCGATGCAATCTCTCTATAGGTGTTCATGGCCTGTTATGATACGGGTCAATACACATATGGGGTACTAGTCTTACGTGTGTTATCCATTTCGAAGAAGTGCTTGTGATAGTTGTTCAGAGGCGAGTAACGGCCTGTCAGTTTGAGCAAAACCTAATATATTCTATGTCAGACTCCAGTCTGTTGCCGGAGGCGTGGTACGCGAGCTAACATTTGGGGACACACTAATCTACAACAGGTTGCATTGTGGGTTTCTGGAAGTCTTAGTTTGCTTCATGTTTGTGATTGAGAGCTCGAAACTTCAGTAAGGTAAGTATATATGGCTGGCCTGTTACGCGTCTCTTGCTAATAGCGAGTTTTCCCCGCTAATGTCCGCCATTGAAACGTGGACGGGTGATTTCCAAGGAAAGAAAGGTAGGTCATTGTTGCCCTTCTCTTATTCGTTTAACCCACAAGAGAAACATTTAGTGGTGCCATGGCATGCAAGTTTATGGCTTATTTCGTACGTATTGACGAGTGAAATGCTGATAGATTATTGCTTATTTATTTACCTACGGGACTAATCCTAATATCATTTTTGAGACTCACTGAACTTTTTACTTTTATATAATTTGGCATCAACCACTTGACTTTTTCGATAGTGGACCACATCTGCAACAACGTAATAACCTCGCCATCAGCCTCAGCTGTATTGTTACTTGGTGTCAGAATTGGAGAAGTGTTTGCCATGGTACACCAGTCCTCGATCGGCATTTCGTGTTAAGTCACAAAATTATACAATAATAAAAATAATCATAGATTTATTTTTGTTTAACAGCTCTGTAAGCGTGCTCCAAACTGCTTTACAGATATAATAAAAGAAAAGAACAGCAATGAATAGTATAATAGTATCCTATTAAAGTAAAGTCAAATAGGTCTATTGTATTCAATCTATTGCGACTCGTGCTTCACCAACCACGAATTTCGCCTTTTCGTTTGTTGCCACAACAGCAACCGATTCTTAAAACAATAAAATAATAAACAAATTTAGAAGGGAAAAACAGATTAAAAAATAACAGATTCAGTGATTCCCGTGAGGCTGCTTGCCCCTTTGTTTTTCCACAAAACTCCTGACATTATACAATTAACGTAGAGGGGATAGGGTTAGGCTTAGGGTAAAGTATGTGAGTAGAAACAGAATGTTTTATGAAACCACACCCGCCAGTACACTGGTATCTCAAGAATCCGACCGACAAGAAAGACCGTGGTTCGGCACGAAACATAGAATAAACATTGTTTTAAAATCGTTCTGTTGGTACATGGAAAAAGAACACATGCCTGCGCTGAACAGAATCACAGATTGGACTTAATTTTGCTGACTTTAACGAAGAATGCCGTGAGACTGCGGGATGCATGGTGAACACACCCTTCCAGGGACCAGGACGTAATACTCT